CTGTTGCAGCACTGGGTTTTGATGTGAATTTTGTTGCTTCACGCAATTTTATCTATTTAAAAAACTGCAATTATTACCATCTGTATTAACTTGAATACATTTGAGGCTAACGGAGAGTTACTTTGACCTCTTAATGTTTGACTTTGCAGTATGCAAATGTTATACATTCTTTAACTGAGACAGCAAGTGGTGTTGTTGTTTGGTTCAGTAGAGTTGGTTCCAACTCTTGGCAACACTCTGTGGGGTTTCTGAGGAGTGGCTGATGAGAGTGAATTGCTGACCTTGCAATTCAAACCAATCTTGTGGTCCCATGCATCATCCTACAGCGCTATACCAGGACTCCTGTGACATTAGTATGTACTGATACATGCTGCGTACCCATGTAATGTGTAAGGGCATGATGTCTAATATAAGACTTATTTCAAGAAACTGGATTTGCTGGTTTAAAACCAACTGAAGAACTTATAATGCTACAAAAGTCAGAAGAGGAACTTTTACTTAGAAGTTTAGTATGGCCACTTTTGCTTTCCCATTTTTGTATTGTAATTACTGTTATTGTTCAGTGCCATCAAGTCAGTTCCAACTATATAAGGCTTCTGAGGAGCAGCTGGTGGGTTTGAACTGCAGACCTGGCAATTCACAGTCCAGTGGTGATCCCATAGCACCATACCGGGAGTCAGATATACTTGGAAGGTTCCAGTTTATTATTTTCCATTAGGTAATACTTAACTGCAAAAGGGTCTTGCTTAAGGGTTAGAGCTGAGAATGATGCATCTAGCTGATATGAAGTGAGGGGAGACACACAGGAACACCCAGACTTGAAGATAGTACCCATTTGACCTACCATTGATGACTTGATAATCAGAACTTGACTAGAAGATGATAATAATAATTTTTTTGTTGTTTTGTTAAAGGGAAATGAGGGTAAATTGCTACAACTTGATGAACTTGACCTATACTCATGGATGTAGTAGCTCAAAATACCAACAGAGAGGGAAGGAGTCTTCACATCAAGTATCAATGCTATCCCCTCTGTACACAGGGTAGATAGGGATGGACAACTTAGATATTGGGTACCTGAAATGAGGGGTAATAAAGGCATGGAGTGACTGGCTTACAAGGTTTCAACAGGGAGTTTTAATTTCACAATGTGCAGGGGAAGACAGAGTCCCCATTGAATAGTTTTCATCTTATCTTGATGGGTCTGGTGAAAAGACCTGGGGATGAGAGTCCTGTGATTCAATAGTGAGAAGTTGTTACCATGACTAATTGAGACTGTTAAAATTATAAAGGTAGAAGTTTTCTAACAAAAACAAGGGAGTAGTTAATCTTACATTCCAGAAACAGAGGACCCTAGGACCATCAAGGGAGAAGAGCACAAGTGGACTGTGATACCTTATCCAGAGAAGCAGCGGCACCAGAGATGGAGGCAGAGCTGGGGACATGGAGAGAGAGATTGGCTGAGGATACTAGATTCATGGAAAGAGAAGGACTGAGAGCTGGTAGCCAGGAGACAGACATGCAGAATGGGCCCTTTGGTGGCACAAATTATTATATATGCCTGATTGTTGCTGTTGTTGTTGTTTTTTTTTTTTTTTAAAAAAAAGCTAAAATGAATAGAGAGAAATACTGTTAACTGATGGTACATGGAGAGGATTATAATCATTGTAATGAAACAAAGTATATGATTTGTTGAATGTAAAACTGATGATCTGCCCCGTAACCTTTGATTCAAATCATAATAAAAACTTAAAAAAAAAAAAAGGGGAGGGGGGTTGGTGGTGGAGTTCTTGCTTATTCCTCTCCGTTCCATAAGGAAAGATTCAAGGACTGATGTTTCTCAGCAGGGTCATATGTAACTCTGTCCTTATTTCTTCCACTAGTTGGACTGATGACTTTGTGACCATATATCTTCTGGTCAACATTGTCAGGCACTAGGTGCTTCTCAATTCTCCAATACTTTTAGTGGTGTTCATGGAATAAGAAAACAGAATAGGGTAAATGTTCATTAAAATCTAGAATCAGATTGTGTTTACACATTTTATCTTAAACAACCAAGTTTGGAATCCACAGCTTCCCAGAACACTATGTGGAAAATGGTGGGGTTTTTTAATCTCCCCAAATTCTTCTATTATGGATTCTCTATGGAAGGATCCTCTTACTGCTAGTGCTATGGGCCATGGAGTCAGTTCCAACTCATAGCGACCCTGTACAGGGTTTCTGAGGCTGTAAATCTTTATGAGAGCAGAAAGCATCTCATCTTTCTCCCACGGAACAGCTGGTAGTTTCGAACTGCTGACCTTGTGACTCGCAGCCCGATCCGTAACCACTACACTACCAGAGCTCCTTATGGAAGGATCCTCTTAGGCACCTCTCAAAAGAAGAACTAAAAGGCTTTACCTGATTGATAGTTATTATAAACATTTGGACCCTCCTTAAGTATAAAAAGTGACTCCCCACACAAATAATTTCCTTCTGACTACTGTATAAAAGAATGAAAATTTTCCCTCTACATAACAGTATTGTTAGTCATTAGGGAAATATAAATCAAAACCATGCTGAGATACCACTTCACACACTCTAAGGTGACTGTAATAAAAAGGACAATAACAAATGCTGACAAGGATGTAGAGAAATTGGAACCCTCATACATTGCTGGTAGAGTATAAAAGGTGCCGCTACATTGGGAATGAGTTTGATCATTCCTCCATGGTCCAGCAAAAAGTTACCCTGTTGTTGTTGTTAAGTGCTGTCAAGTTGGTTCCAACTCATAGTGACCCTGTATAGGGTTTCCAAAGAGCCTGTGGTTCAAATCGACCTTGTGGTTCTAGTGCTTACCCTCAGGGCCATACCAGTACTCCAAAGATACCCGTGACTTAGAAAAATCTACTTCTAGCATAGACCCACGACAAATGAAAACATATGTCTACAGAAAGATTTGTACAGAAATGGTCATAGCAACATTATTCATAATAGTCAAAAAGTGAAAACAAGTTTAATGTCCACCACCTGAAAAAAATGGATAAATAAACTGAGGTTTATTAATATACTGGACTGTTGTTCAGCCATAAACAGGAGTAAGTACTGATAAGGAGCTCTGGTAGCATAATGGTTATGAGTTGGGCTGCTAACCTCAAGGTCAGCAGTTTGAAACTACCAGCTGTTCTGTGGAAAAAAAGGAGACTTTCTGTTCCTGAAAGGATTTACAGCCTTAGAAACTCTATACATTCTACTATATATATGAAAGTACATGCAAATAGTGTCCTAAGTGGAAGAAGCTTGAGAAAAAGGCCATACATTGTTTGATTGCACTTAGATGAAATGCCCAGAATAGGCAAATTCATAGAGACAGGAAATAACTTAGTAGTTGCCAAGGTATGTAGTATAAAGAAAAATGAGGAGTTGACTGATGATGGTTTGGAGTTTCTTTTGGGGGTTATGAAAATGTTCTTGTATTTGACAGTGGAGATCGATGCTTTATTATGTAAATATACTAAAGGCCACTGGCTTGTAGACTTTAAATGGGTAAGCCTTATAGCCGGTGAATTATATCTCAGTGCTGTAATAAAATGAAATTCCAACAGGTATTTGGCCTGTGTATATGGTAGTGTGTTATTGCATTGGGAAAATGTCTTATGTGTGAGTTACTTGAGTTTCATATGGAAGACGGATTTACATCTGGCTTATGGTCCTAGTCAGAAAGCTTGAACTATCCCAATTAGTATAAAGAGTAAATGCTTGGAAAAGGGTTGAATTAGTAGGCTCCTTACAGCTTTTAAGTGAATGAGAATGAGGAATGATTTTTATAGCAGGTGATATCCAGGGAGAAAAACATTTGTTTTCCTACTTCTTTTCTGGTACTTTACTATCCTAGAGGCTGAGTGGGTTTGTAATAAGTATCACTTAGCAATAAGTATGTGTGTAAGTACAAAAGCTATTTTATTTCCCTTTGGGAAGAGACATTATGGGAAATTAGCATTCCTTTTTAGTTTGATTTTGGGAATTCTCTGTGATTATTTTTAAAAGAATTTTTATCTTTGTTGGCTCTAAGGTCACCCAGATACGTAAAAATTGGAGAAAGGTTCAATTTAGCTTAGATCCAAGATGAGTTCAAGTTCTGTTCTCTTGTCATATTTTACAAGTTTATCTCTAAAATTATTTCTAAAACTCACTTTCTTATTGTACATCATTACCTCCTCCACTCTGAACCCTTAGTCTTGTAGCATGCCATGGTCTAAGGAGGTCAAAGATGAACCCATCCTTAAAGATTACCAAGCATATCTTGTCACTGGGAAACTGGATTGTAATGGATTTTGAGTCTGGTTACCAGATTGATAACTAGTGATCTTCTGTTTTCTGAATGATTTTAGTGGACTTAGAGTAAATGGATAACCTTTCAATTTTACACACAGAGGACTAACTTTATTGTCTTAGTGGTTCTTTGTTCTTGACTGTTTAAATTTTCCTTTAGATCTTTCCCCCTTTTTATCTAACCACCTGAGCAACATAATACTTTTATCTTTTATGTAGCTTGCTGGTGACAAATAGTATAGACTCTGGAACCAGGTTTCCATGTTTTATCTCTTTGGCTTTGGACACAAATCTCAGTTTCTTCATTTGCAATATGTGGCTAATAATAGAATCATCCTGGAGGACTTGCAAGAATTAAATGAGATAATCCATAAAGCAGTTACCCAACATTTATACAGCTCTGACTTTGTGCCTAGTCTGACAACTTCTGTTTACAAAGCAATTTAAAGGATGCTAATGCATCAGATTGCAAAGTCATTTGAACTACCAGGTTGGTGGTTCATCTATGATGAGAATTAAATGAAATAATACTTGCATTTATTATTTTTATTGTTGTCCTAGTTATACCAGCCAGTTTTATCATAACAAGATACCTAACCACCAGGGATTGGGCTATTGTGGGTTGGCTGAGTTTTGTCCTAGGTTGGTTTGCACAGCCCACCTCTTGACTTCATCTCTTGTTCTTTCAGTGGCACAGTTGGACAACATTGGCTTCAACATAATCAGGAAGTGCATCCATGCAGTGGAAACCAGAGGTAAAGTAATTCAACAGATGGCATTGTTCTCAAAGAAGGTCATGCATTTGGTGAGGCATCAGACCTGCTACCTGCTGTTTTCTAATTTTAAGTGACTCGTTAACTCCCCAAATACCACAGTCAGTGTGTTTCTGCAAGTTGTGTTGCCCCGGGACAGGGTCTCTCCATTTATTTTGTGTTGTCCACCTCCCCTTTGGCTAGTGAAGCTTTTTTTCAGAAGAATGTTTTAAAATGCATATTTTAAAATTTTACCAAGGAAACCAGTTATTTCAATTCAGTTATCAAAAGATTTCCAATCTACCCTAGCTGTAGTATATCAATATATGTGTTTCTTTGTGAATGCATTAAATAGCACAAGTAATAACTAGCATGATTTGGAAGTATTCCAAGACATCTATAACAATTATAATGTGTTATGAAAGTATCTGATTTCTGAGTAAGTGGGTACTGCTAATGTTCCAGGAATTTATTGCTTACATTCATAATAAAAGGAAATGCAAAAGTACAGTTTTAGGGTAAGAGAAATAAAGATATGATTGCTTTCCTGACAAAACAGAGACTCCCAGTGGACTGCCTGGGGTCCATGGAGCCTAGGTTAGGGACCTCTGCTTTGGGGAGCCAATCCCTGGGGATTATCCAGGTAGAGAGAAGGGCAGAGATGAATGTTCCTGGTAGCCTGCAGTGGTACAGTCAGGTGCTGCCTGTCCCACGTTGATCTTCCCAGGGCCAACATGAACAAGAAGCTCGTTCAAGGAAACTAGTTAAGCCCAATAGTTCTCTATCTCCTCCTGCCACAAAGGAGATGCCGGAGTTCTGGCATTCTGGAGCTTCAAATGCACTGGTCTGTTGGAACCCTGACAAAAGCCATGAACCATATTTCTACTTGATTTGATTTTTATCAAAGATGTGAGGCATATTTATTCCACAGTCTCAACCCAACCCTCTTTATTTGTTTGGTAGGGATTCTGTTTTTTAAAGCAGGGCCCATAACGTGTATCAGTTAAGAAATATAAACTTCTCTATAGAAGCTATAAAAACATCAAGTAGAGAGGAAGAAAAAAAACGAAACACACAAAAAACAGAGCCTCAGAAGCTTGTATTCCTATATTTAGTCAAAAAGTATTCTCATCCAAGGTGATTATTTTCATGTGTAAACATTAAAAAAAAATTTTTTTTTTTTTTTTTAGTGTTTGCCTTTTTCTGCTATGCCTCCTTCAACAGTTGTTGTTGTTGTTGTTAAGTGCCGTCGAGTCGGTTCCGACCCATAGCGACCCTGTACAGGGTTTCCGAGGGTGTAAATCCTTACGGGAGTAGAAAGCCTCATCTTTCTCCCGCGGAGCGGCTGGTAGTTTCGAACCGCTGACCTTAAGGTTCGCAGCCCGATTCGTAACCACTACGCTACCAGAGCTACAGTTAAGGCAGTTTAAAAAGAAACATAATATATAACTTGCTGTTGTTGTTAAGTGCCATTGAGTCAGTTCTGATTCTTAATGACCTTGTGTAGTGTTTCCAAGGAGCAGCTGGTGGATTTGAACTGCCGACCTTGTGGTTAGCAGTCAAGTGTTTATCCTATAGCACCACACCAGGACTCCAACCTTGAGATAATAAAATCAAAATATGTGAGATTTCTGGGAATTGATCTTGAGGAAATAGATGGGCAAAGACTGAGCCATAGGTATACTTACACAATGGTGTTTTAAAGGTAACAAAAAACAGAAAACTAGCTCAAAATATGTCAGAAATTGGTTACTGCATGGTAAACCAATTTTGCATGGTACTTCCATGCAGTAGGAAAAGAAAAAAAAGAGCCACTAAAATGCAATGGAAATAAATCTATTGATATGGCAAGATTTTATATGTTGCAGTTCCCAGATTACTAATTGCATCTTTAAGAATTTATAGCTAAATCAGACCAGCTGCATATGATTCTGATCTATATCAGTGTAAGGAAAGGTGCTCTGGTGGCATTATAGGATAAGCACTGGATGCTAAACACAGGGTGGTGGTTCAAACCCATCAGCTGCTCTGTGGGGAAAAGAGGAGACTGCTCCCATAAAGGTTTATATTCTCAGAAACCCCACACAGGGCTACTGTGAGTCAGAACGGACTCAATGGTCGTGGGTTTGGTTTTTGGTTAACACAAGGAAAGGCTTGAAACCTTCTCAACTATTTAAAAGCTGCATGTGCAGCCAGTGAAGGTAATTGTAATCAAGGATTTGTTTTGATTAGAGATTGGTCCAATCATTGTGGAGTGAGAGTGTGAAAATGATGGGAAGACTGTATCGGACATTGTCCAGCTTCACAAGGAAGGAGAAGGAGAATCACCATCAGCCTAATGCAAACCCAATTGTGGTAAAGCGATCAGTCTCCATCCTCCAATCTTTTTAAAGAAAAACCAAGTTTGACACCAACCATCCCTCCCACTGCACCCCTCTACTTACCAGCTGGATTCTAGAATTCATTGCTACACAGAACTCAGAGAAGATACTCACAACTATGGGGTTTATTAGGGAAGTCAGCAGGTTATAATTCAGGATCAGAACTGCTTAAGACACAGTTCTTTGGTCAGGACAGCCTCTTTCCAGCCATGCTTCTTGTTGTTGTTGTCATGTGCCATGGAGTTGGTTCTGACTCATAGCAACCCTGTACAGGGTTTCCAAGGCTGTAAATTTTTACAGGAGCAGAAAGCTTCATCTTTCTCCCGTGGGACAGCTGGTAGTTTCCAACTGCTGACCTTGGGTCCATAGCCCAATTCGTAACCACTACGAAACCATGGAGGCATTTCTTTGGTCCTCGAGACACCTTGACCTCTGACCTATTTAGGCAATGTTACAGAGCTCTTTTAGGGCAGTTGATAAGTGCATTATGGGCACTCCACTCTACTATAAGCCAGTGCCTGGAGGCAGTCCACTCTGCAAGGGAGCCTCCTGCCTGAACACACTGAGATTACCTTGCTTGGTGGACTGGGAAGCACACTGCTGTTTCAGGCTATGGCTTTTGGTTCTGTTACTGCCACTCTTGACACTCCTCTACTGCTTCTCTGGTATCACAGCGTTCTGTCCCCAAATCAAGATGGTTGAAAATGCAGGGAACTTGGGATCTAAAGCCCATGCTACACTCCTGGCTTTTTTTTTTTTTTTTAATTGTTCATGTTAATGATTTCCCTTTTCTCACCTTCTGAGATGGCTTACGTTGAACCCAGCAGAATGGCCAAATTGATCAATCCTGTCATTAGAGTTCTAAGTTTTTACAGTCATAATTAATCCTGTTAATAGTCACTCACAACTGAATCATACAATCCTGTCAGCATGTTCCCCCACTTTGGCTTAGCCAGAGTCATCAGGAAGAGAGACCATCTGTATGGTCTCAGCTAGCTGTTTGGTAGGAATTACAAAGACCATGGCTAGAGAGCCATATTAAATAATTCACTGCACTGCAAAGGCCAAATTTTCATGACATTAATTGCACTTAACAACAACAACAAAGGATAAATAAATAGGGTTATCTTTAAGTTGGCTGTTCATAACCTGGGAACTGCCTGTGTATACATATATGTAATATAAAGTGCAAGTGCATTAGCTCTGTAGGGTAAGTAGTGGGCTGCTTACCACAAGATCTGGAGTTTGAGCCCACAGTTGCTCCACAGGAGAAAGATGAGACTTTCTGCTCCCACAAAGATTTACAGCCTCAGAAATCCTTTTCTGGGTTGCTGAGTTGGAAGTAACTTGACGGCATTTAACAACAACAACAATAGAAAGTGGAAAATGCAAGTTACAGAATGACTAGCTCAGTATGAACCTCTTGTACGTATGGAAAGTCACGGGGTGGCAGGATGTGGGGGATACGACATAGGATCTATAACTTCAAGTGTATTTATCTTGGTGTTATAGTGTCTCTGATATTTTTTATTATCTTTCTTTGATTTATCTAACTATGTAAACTACAAGTTTCTAATTTTTTAAGCATGTATTACCAAGATAATTTTTCAACAGGAGTTTTCATTTGATTTTCAATTTCAAAAAAGGAATGAGAAATGTGAGGTGTAGGATTACCAAAGGTAGTACATAAAAATGGAGTCAAGTGTCAGTTCAAAACAAAAATACTTCCTTATGAACTTTATATAGTTGCCTGAAGCTGACCATATTCTTTTTTTTTTGAAGCCCAAATCCATAGGGAAACCTAATCCTTTAAAATAATTTATTGAGTCTGTGGAATAAGTGTAAACTCAGGTGGACAAGTTTTCCTAATGCTAAATCAGAAAATATATGCAATGCATAATAAAGGAAAAAGAGGGTCGCTAGTTGGTCTCTTAGCATCCACCTTTTGTCTCTTTCTTCCCCTACAATGAGGTTAAACATTATATTCTTTAAATCGTAAGCAACTGTTCGTTTAGCAAAAGGGGAGTTAAGAACAGTGTGAGTTAAATTCCATTTTGGCATAAATGGTTGAAGGATGTGGGGATTTCTCCAGTGTGGTGCATGTTTGTATACTTATGTTTATGGTGACCCTAGATTAACAGGCATTCCATACTGTCTGGAGTTTGTTAGTAATCATTTAGGGGAAGCCAGGACTCTGTGGGCTAATGCATCAGACTGCAAAGTCATTTGAACTGCAAGGTCGGTGGTTCAAGCTCACCAGCTGCTCCTTGGAAACCTTATATAGGTTCGCTATGGGTCAGAATTGACTTGGCGGCACTTAACAACAACAACAGGGCTATGTAACATCCTAGGAAGGCATAAACCTGAAAGGAAAGAATAGAAACACTTCAAAAAGGACAAGTCCTTCAAGTTTGTATGTTACTGAATAATGTGGTTCTGCAGCTGAGTAACTCGGGTTCCTCTCATTGTTTTTGAGCAGGGGATCCAAACCTGTGAACCATACGGAATGATGTGCATAATTTTACAGGTGCTTTTCAATCTTAACATTCCAGATAACTACCTTTTATTCATTAGTTCTACTGCTCTTTAGGTGTTACTAAGGAAACTGCAGAATCCGACTTT